ACAATATACTGAAAATTGGAGGGCCCCAACCGCTATGTAGGAATTTTCACAACTGACGCATCCTTCTGATTAGAAATTTAGAATGAAGATTACTAGTTGTTGGTCAGTGAGCAATCTAAAGTTTGCCTATGAGAACGTGAAGGCAATGATCAATGTTTCGATGATGACGCTGGTTATGGTCCGCACAATCAAAGGTATCCTGCAGGCTTGCATGAAGAGGCACAACGCGGACCTATGGGATGAACTATTACCAGGATGCATGCTGGCATACCGAGATGCAGATTGTACATCTACAGGAATGACACCAGCATACCTAACCTTTGAAATCCACCTACCGATAGACGTCACAACCCCAGTCGCACCCGCAGAAGAGGTATCAACATCACAGTTTGCTCAACAACTCCGTCAGAAGCTGCACATTGCCTTCGAGTCGGCCAATCGTGTACACCAAATGGCACACCTGCAGCAGAAACAACAATACGATCGGAGTGTGCTCGGGTCATCATATGCCAAAGGGGATAAGATTTGGCTGCACCGACCCAAGCCCCCGGTGGGCGCCTGTGCAAAGTTTCACCGCCCATGGCAGGGGCCGTATGAGATTGTATTCATACGCTCCCCGATGGTATACGTCATCCGAGGCATATCGTCCTCCACTGCTGATGTTTTGACGGCGCACTACAATCAACTGAAGACTGCCGGCCATCACGACTTGCCAAATCACCGCAGTTAGTACCTCCAGGATGCGTCCCGATGGTAAAACGGACAGAGGAAATACCCCAGGGGGTGGGACAGGTGTACTGTGTCCAAACGAGCACTGAGGATAGTGCTTTTGTGAATAAGGGAATAGTGTAACACTCGCTAGTGTGGATCTATTCTACCTGGAAAAAATGGATTAAATGAACTTTCCTCATTATAGGCACCTGGCGGTAACACTCTCGGAACTGTAACGGGGCATTTGAACAGACCGCGTGTAATTCAGTTCAGTTCAGTCAGTCAGTCAGTCAGTCAGTCAGTTGCACAGGACAGGAGATGGCCACAGCCAATCGTGCGTCCAGATTTCCTCTGGTAAGTAAGCCCCGTTCCGGCCCCTACCACTGCGAGTGTTCTATATTGCAGTTCTACACGTCTTCTTCACGTCTCAGTTGTCTAGCCCCGTTCCGGCCCCTACCACTGCGAGTCTTCTATATTGCAGTTCTACACGTCTTCTTCACGTCTCAGTTGTCTCCGTCTCTACAAGCGAAGAGGGTAAAGAAAAAGTATCTTCTCCCCTTGTTCAGGCGAGAGACCTCACGTTCGGAAGCGATCCCCGGATGGGGGTTTAGTGACTCGATGGTTGCTGATGTTCGTCAGAACCTGTCACTAATGTTTACTCAC